TTTTTTTTTTTTTTTTTTTTTTTTTTTTTTTTTTTTTTTTTTTTTTTTTTTTTTTTTTTTTTTTTTGTCAAATTGATTAAAAAAATAATAATAGCTATCAATAGAAAAATAATTACCCATGGTTAAAGACTATAATTTTTTTTACGGTCTCATCCAATTTCTTAGGGGTAAAAAAGGGTTAAAAAAAGGGATGAGAGAGAAACCTGGTCAATGGAAGAGAAATTATCTGCTATGAAACCATATTTCTGCCGGAAAGAAGCCTTCTTCTCAGACAACCTCGAGCCCTTTCCACGGCCACCGCCGCCGCCGCTGCCCATATTTTTAACCGACGGTTCTGTAGTCATTTTGCCAGGCTTTTCGCCGCCGACGCCGATGCTTCTTCTGACAGTACTTTTTAGCGACGGTTCTGCAGCCGTCTTGCCAGGCTTGTCGCCACCGCCGATTACACTCTCAGTATTCTTAAGCGACGGTTCTGAAGCCGCTTTGGCAGGCTTTTCTCCGCCACCGCTCCGTTTAGAAGAGGAGCTGATCAAGCTGCCCATATTGCTGAACCACTGAAATTGGGGGAGGAAAATTATTATATTATAATTATAAAAAGAATTAACAAAATTAGGGGAAAATGAGTATAAATATGCTTTACTGCTGTTAGCGGCATGCTTTAGAAGTGGATTGGTGGGGTTGGAAAAGGGTAAGGGATGGGATTCTGTGGAAACTGAGAGGAAAATAAGGAAGGAATTGGATTCTCTGCGGTGAGGGGAATGGAGCGGATATTTCTTACCGGGGAAGCCGGTGGCGCTTATACAATGTTTTCCATGTTGTAATAATAGGATAGTTAGCTTCGGCTCGCGCCCCTCATTATTGGTCCCTGGCCCACACATAATATATTTGTAGGGGTTTGGTAGACATTTGAATGATGAAAGTCCCACATCCGCTTATTTAGGGAATGATCTATGCTCAAAGTGGACAATATCATACAATTGTGGAGAGTCGTGTTCGTCTAACATGGTATCAGAGCCATGTCCTAAACTTAGTCGTGCCAATAGATTGGTAAATCCTCGAATGTCGAATGACTCCTCGAAGGTACCAAGGCAGTAAAAAATGACTAAGACTCCAAAGGCGTCGAGCATTGATTAAAGGGAGGCGTGCTTTGTTCGTTTGACCCGTTACATATCGTCATCAGCCTCTCGATTTTAAAACGCATTTATCCGGTATAGATTTTCACACGCTTATAAGAAATGCTTCATTCCTTTCTACAACCAATGTGAGATCTCACAATCCACCCCATTTGGGAGTCCAACGTCCACGCTGGTATATCATCCGATGTCTGGCCCTTGTACCATTTGTAACAACCAAAATCCACCCCTAACTGATAGCTTGTTTTTGAAATATAAATATTATGGAAGAGGACATACAAATAATTAAATCCCACGTAAATAAAAAATAATGGGTTCAGACAAAAATACAATGTAGGCCCATCCTGTCAATGGCCGTTCTTTGCCCTTCCAACATACTGGCCCAATGGGCTTTAGGCCCAAAGCGCCACACAGTAATTCACGCGGTAATAATCACAGACGTCAGAAGAAAAGTAAAAAGAAAAAAAAAAAAAAAAGGAAGAAGAAGAAGAAGAGAGAGAAAAAGGTCCATTTTCTGGACGCAGAAGAGCANAAAAAAAAAAAAAAAAAAAAAAAAAAAAAAAAAAAAAAAAAAAAAAGGAAGAAGAAGAAGAAGAGAGAGAAAAAGGTCCATTTTCTGGACGCAGAAGAGCAGAAAGGCGAGGATCGTCCAAAACCAAACCCCAGGCTACTCCCCGCCAACACCCAAACGTCAAACGAACCAACTTCGCGCTCTAATTCTCTCTGCTCAATCCTTCCATTACAAAGAGACGACGAGCTCACCATTTCTTGCACCACTTCCCTTCTACTCGAATCATCATTCTATGATATAACATGACTCAATCGCCGGTGCCTCCGTCGTTGGCTCTGCCGCAGCCGTCGGCATTATACGGCTCCGGAGTTCAGGTCCGTTGCGCCGGTTGTCGCGATGTGTTGGTGGTGGCGTCTGGCCACACCGAGTTCTTCTGTCCATCTTGTCAATTGCCTCAGATGTTGCCTCCTGAGCTCATAGTTAGGGCCTACTCCAAGTCTCTTCCTCTTCCTACTCCGCCTCCTCCGCCGCTGGCTCCTCCTCCTCCTCCTCCTCCGTCGATACACCATGTCCCTGCTCATGGCATTGATCCTACCAAGATGCAACTCCCCTGCGCTAATTGTAAGGCGCTTCTTAATGTTCCTCATGGTTTAACTAGGTTCGTTTGTCCTCAGTGCGCGGTTGACCTCGCTGTCGATGTGTCCAAGCTCCATCAGTTCTTTCCCTCCCGGCTGCCTCCTCCCGAGGAAGTCAACGAGGTTTCAATTTCTCTACTCTTCTATTGTTGTGTTTTGGATGATTATGGTGATTTTTGCTCGGTTGTTAGCTGGGATTCTGCAACTATTCATTTATTTTGCTTGGAAGTCATACGAAACTGGATAAGAGGCTTAGAATTCAAATCCTTTGTTATCACTGCGCATTATGTGTTGGTTACTATCTTGCATATGTTCTCTGGCGAATCCCTGAAGTTGGCTAGAAACTAACTTCTAAATCACCAGTAATTATGCCAAAAAAAAGAAAACCTTTGAATCACCATACATTTTTGAATAATGTTTCGTTGTTTAATTTCATGTACTGCTGTGAACAATTTCTCTCGTCACTCTTTCGGCCATCATTTATGGATTCGTGAGCCAGGCTTCCATAGCCTACGATTAGCAAGAAGCATCTTCTTTTTCAGTGTAAAAAACATCTACCATATTTATAAAAGGTCGATTCATACTTGTTACATGAGTGAGTTAAACTAACGCTCCACTCTTGCCTGTGTGGAAGTAAATTAGTTGTTAGCAAAATGGCCTTAAATGATCTCAGTTCTGTCTCTCCAGGAGTGATAGTGATTCATGGCACCATCTCATGAGGAAAAAGTGATTCATGGCACCTTAAGTTAGATTTTCTGAGGAGCTCTTTTACTCTTCCTAAAGTAATGTTGATGGGAATAGGGTTGGTTGACATTTGATTGCATTGTATTGGCATTAGCATTGACAGTGGCATTGTATAATTTTTAGGTTAAAATACTATTTTCATTTTGGTTCCTATACCTTGGGTTTCCATTTTAGTTCTTGTACTTCTAAATGTTCAAATTTAGTCACTGTACTTCTAATATATCTTGAAACTGCTCCCTGCTATCGTTTTGAAGTTACTTTTTAATAAATTAGGCAATAATAACATTAATTCCCAGCAACAAAAAAAAATACGATATGAATATATTTTTAAAATTTATAGAGAGAGCTAATATGGACTAGTTTTTTAAAAAGAAAAGTTACCAATATACTAACACAAGGACCGATTTTAAGATTTATTGGAAGTATGTGGACTAAAATTGGACATTTGAAAGTATATGGATTGAAATGAAATGAAACCCAAAGTACAAGGACCAAACTAGTGTTTTAACCTTCTTTGGCCACGTGCTAGGTGCATGCCCTATCTGACTTCACAGTGTTATTGAGGGGGTAGTGTTGGAAGAAATTAGTACTTTTGTTTCCGATGGTGGAACAAAGTCTTTGTGTGCCGATGTATATGTATTGAGATTTGAGAATGTAGATCGCAAATAATTGCCTCATACCCTGGTTAAAAATATGCATTGTCTCTAACAGGTCACATGCAAATGTCAACGGAGAGCAGGAGCATGTAACAGTATATATTAGCTTGTGATTATATTTTATATGGTTGATTGGGACCAATAATGTAAATAGGGGGGTGTATATCATTTACTTATTTTTATGTTCTCTCTATATTCTTAATCTTTTTTTTCAGGGGGGTAATACTGTGTAAAAAAGCCTTACAAGGCATGTGCTTAGACACTGGTGAGGTGACTTACCTCCTTGTGCATCCACTTATTGCTTAAGTTTTTTACTAATAAACAAGTGTTAAGTTAAATTTAAAGCTTTGGATTTCCTCCCCTTTTACAACTTTTATTATTTCATCAAAATATGTTTCCTTCACACTCAAATCTCCTCTCACATAGGTCATAGATGTAAAGATGTATAGAAATGAGATCAAAGAGGAAGATACAAAGGGCTATATATTTAGTGATGGAGAAAATGAGGATGGGGGGCCTATTTGGTGATGATAAGTTATAAATTTTATCCATGTGAATTTGTAGTTTATTTTTGTGATTTTGTGCGCTCCTTTGTTGTTGAAAGACATCATATTTGAAATTTGTTTGTCTTTGATGGTTTATCTATTATTTTCTGTTTCATGTTTCATGCTTCATGCTGATTTTTAATTTTATTTGTTGGCTTGTGGTTGTATATGTTCTGCGTGCTTTCAGAAAACACTGGTATAAATCTTTGCAACTTTGCTGTGCCTTTGTGTCTTGCCTTTATTATTGATGGCCATCTCCAAACTGATCGGACATGATCAAATGGGTCCCGAAATCTTAATTAGATGACTCTTATTTATTTATTTTTTATTTTCAAATCTAGTTTACAACATCTTTATGAGATGAAATGTGTCAGGTAGCCATTGAAGTGGAAAGAGAAGAAGATGAAGGTGGTATCGTAGGAGAAACATTTACAGAATATGTGAGTAATAATAAACTCTTGTAACTTCGCTACGGAAGATTTGGTATGGACTTTAGTCCTTGTTTTCAATTATAAGAGCTGTGATTTGGTCTCAGATGGCTGTGTTTTTGGCATTCTTTGCAGCACCCTCCCAAACTATCTATAGGCCCACCTCACCCAGACCCAGTTGTGGAGACATCCTCCTTATCTGCTGTACAGCCACCTGAACCTACTTATGATTTAAAAATCAAGGACGATTTAGAAAAGTCAAAAACTCTGTCATGCTTGCAAATCGAGACCTTGGTTTATGCTTCTCAGGTTGGTCATGAATAGTTGATGTTCTTATGGTCAATACTTTTAAATTTCTCTTCACTCTTAAGGAACTGTCTATTACAAATCCAGAGGCATATGCACCATCTCTCGAATGATACCAGGGCAGGATTCTTTATTGGAGATGGAGCTGGTGTTGGTAAAGGTCGGACAATTGCAGGTTTATTATGGGAAAATTGGCACCATGGGAGGAGGAAAGCACTGTAAAGTCTTGCTTTCATTCTCTGCAATTAATTTCCTTGTTGAATTATTATTATTGGTTTAATGAGCAGAACCAAGAGTGACCTTACATTTGCCCACCAGTTACCATCTTAATCAGTCATTGTCTTATGCACGGTGTGTGATTTACACGCTATGCAGCAGATAGGACAACTTTTTTAATTTTTTATTTTATTTTGAAGAGAAACAAAATAAAAATTAGATTGGAAATGATGTCCAAAAAGATAGGACAACGGTTCTATAGAAACCAACCAAAAACAATTTACAACGTGAAAGGTCTTACTTTCAGGTAGTTAAGTATATCTATATATATGTGTGTTCGTACGCGCACGTATGTATTTTTTTAATGAGCGCTCGTGTGTGTGTCTGCATGCATGTATATATATGTAGTTTTTTAATGAAGAATTCAATTTCTTTCTGAATGACTACATTGTTTACTTGGAGAGCTTAGATGATTTGAAAGTTTAGTAGGGGGTGGGAAATGCTATGTATTGTAGTACCTGCATTTGAACTTGGATTTTAAATTGTCCGAGATACTATTTTTTGTCTGTTGTTATTCTTCTCTCCTGATTGATCTCCTGTTTCACTTTACTGCTTAGACTCATTC